GGCGTTTCCTTCCCACCGAGTCCGGAGCCACCCGAGGGCTTGACTCGCTTCCCCTTTCCTGCAATAGGAGCCTTTGCTGGAGACCGCGTGGTTCTCCCGCTCAACGGGACGGCTTCGGGACGCCTCCCCGTGCTAAACCTTTTCCTTGCTTTGGCTGGGTCACCCTAAGCAGCTCCTGCCAAGAGCCGGCAGTTTTTGAAGCTTTTTCCCTTCGTAGGGCTCAGAGGGCCCCGGTGGCCCCAGCTCCAGTCCTTGCGCGTGCCGCAACGCGCGCTCCACGCGTGAGAAACAGCGTCAGCTGCTGGAGAGCAGGGTTGAAATCTGTAGGTCTCCGGCTGCATTCCCAGACCTTGCGCGGGCCAGAAGGGCTGTCGTGGGCTGGAGAGCGGCCGGGGCCGCGCGAACGCGCTCGGGAGCTGCAGCGAAGGGCTTCGGTGTGGGAGATGAACACGTGCGTGCACTCAGCAAACGCTGCTGCTCGACAAGGGCTTGTCAGCTGCTGGAGAGCAGGGCTGAAATCGGGATAAATAGAAAATGAATACAAAAATATATGTTTTACGGCCTGGTGTGAATGGGTTGCTGGCTGAGGTGTAGGACAGATTTTCTTCGTGCCTTCCCAAGACTGGCAGCTCTAGTATCTGCTTCCCCTCGTGGCTCGGGCCCCATGGACTGTCCGGCAGAGATTTCCTCGTGTGTAGGAAAAGCCTCGGGATGGAGCAACCCCTGGAGACTGGATTTCTGTTGTTTGCTGGCTGGTGTCTTGTTGGCTCCTGTCTTTTTGGATGGAGAGGCAGAATCACGACACGTTTCAGACTCGTGGCATGGTGGGATTAGACCAGACCTCCCAATCCCCATTCTGTTCCCTGGTCTGCTCTTTAGATAGTTTAAATATTTGTTCTGCAGAGGATGCAGAGCAGCCACTTGATAGTGACCTGCAGCCACTGCCCACCTGGGCTAACGTTAAACTGAACTGGAAAATGAAAGGGTTGGGTTTTGAGCTGTCTCTGCCTCTTCCCTGGCTTCCTGAGCTCTGCTGCTCAGGTTGGCCACAGCAGAATAAACTTCCATAAGGGCAAACATCCTGCTCTGCACCTCCGGGTTTTCCAGGTTCGCACGCCTTCCACCTGCTTGCCCGGCAATGCAGAAGCACCAGGTGTTGGGCCGGATCCGAAAGCTCCTTCCCAATAAATTCCCCTCGCGTTCCAGGGAGCAGCCTTTGATCCTGGCCTGTCGCGTTGTCCTTTCTGCGCTTGCTGGCACCTGGCAGGGCTGCTCTGTGCTCCCCGCGGCAGGACAACGAGCCGGACGTGTCTCCACCAGCCATCCCAGGGCCAACCACCCGCCTTGCTCCGAGGAGGCTTCTCCTGGCAAACAGCTCTCACCCCGCTCGTGTCTCCTCTCTGCTCGCACAGGGACTGCGCGTTCGGGGCCGTGGGGAGCCGGGTCTGCTCGTGCAGGGGCTGCGTGGGGCAGAGCAGAGCTGTGACGACAGGGCAGCCCCTGCGCCCGGCTGAAACAGCCCGACCGCCCCGTGCGGCGCCGGCGCTTCGGGATCCCCGGGGCCGGGTGTTGAAACGGGGTTTTGCAATTCCGTGCTGGGAAGAGGAGTTGCCACAGAGGTGATCGCTGGGCTCCACCTCGACGGGGAATGGGGAGGGGGCTCTCTCCTTAAATATGGTTGAGGCAAATGGTTTGCTGCAAGGTTTATGGAGCCTGGAGCAGCAATGTGCTCTCTGGAGAGCTGTGGAAGAATGAGCGTCCTTAGTCCTTAGCTGTTAACGCTGGGTAGGTGCTAATGGCTCTGTTGGTGTTTGTTTTTAAGGCTGAGACAAGAAAGAGATCTAGAGTGAAGGGCTGGCACAGCTCGGAGCAGAGGGAACACTTCTGGGTCGGGTTCCAGTAAAGAGCAAAACCTGCCTGGTGGGGCTGTGTTCAGGCTGATAAAGCAGTAGTAGCTAAGCCAATAGCTACTTTTAATGTAATTTTAAAATTAATGTAATTTTTTTACGCCTTTTAATGTAGGCGCCGTCAGCTCCTCGGCAGCCTCGCTTGCTGTCTTGTGCAGGTAAAAAGCTCATGGAATCAGGACGACTGTTTCCCTTCCATGCAGCTTTCGCTCTGCTAGCTGGGGACTGTTAGGTTCTGCTTTACCATCTCTGCTCTCTCATTTCCTCGTTTTATGTGGAGAAAACTGTGTTTGAAGAAATTGGAGCTCTTCAGTATCTGGCTTTGCGTGCTTTGGGCCCCTGGCTGTTTCCTGCTCAGAGGGGCAGTGAGGTGGGTTTGCTTCTCTGCTGCTGTCTCCTCCTGCTGCGCGCTGCAGCCCCCGGAGCGAGGCCGCTGTCCCGAGCGCCGCACGGAGCCGCTGCCGGAGCAGGACCCGGAGCCGCTGTCGGAGCAGGACCCGGCCGGAGCAGCTGCCGGAGCAGGACCCGGCGCCGCAGCCAGGTCAGCCCGGCCCGGGCGCCCGCAAGGAAGGCTGAGTAAACAGAAAGAAACAAAAGCCGATTCTCACTGACCTCGAGTGCAGAACAGAGCCCGGCCCCGCAGAGGGAGAGGCAGCTCCAGGCAGAGCCTGCCCTGCCTTGGGTCTCCCCGTGGAGCTGCTCCGTGCAGGACGGAAATTCAGAAGATCCGTCCCCGCTGCACGAGCAGCCCCTCTGCACCCGCCGCAGTTTCCTCAGCAGCAGCCCTGCTGGAAACCCTCCTGGCTGGAGGCTCCTTTGGTGGCTACTTGGGGATCGTATTCCAGAGTTAGCTAAAATTAGCTGTTGGTATTGAAATGTTTGCCTTGAGCTGGCATGCATCCTCTCTTACTAGTTTGGCCCTCTGTAATGAACAGGGCTCTCTTGCTGCTTATCTCTGAACAAAAAAAAAACTTATTTAAGGCCCTTTCTCCAAAAAGGGGCACTTCTCTGTTCCGTAATCAGTTTCTTTAAGAGCTGGTGGTGATTACACATAACCGCGGTGTTTGCTGGCCGCGCTGCAGGGCTGGTGTTGCAGCTGCTGGGGACCTCTTCCTTCCCAGGTAGTTGCAGCATGTGCTGCGCAGATATTAGATTTGTTCTAACGCAATTCTTGCCTCCTCCTTGGCAGATCTTCTGAATTTGGCTCCCGCCTGAAGTTGGCAGAGAATGGACACATTTCCCCGGCGATGTCTCTGGGGCGGCTCCTCCGTCGTGCCTCTTCCAGAGCCTCAGCCC